GGGATTGTTGGAAACGGCATTAGAAAACGCAAACTTTGGAAGGATTTTTAAAAAGATTCCGCTAAGAATTTTTTGCGAATCTATTGATGAGCGCGTTCCTCTCTGCGAGGAGATGAACATGGTATATTTATTTTCTCAAATCCGTTTCCGGGTGAATGAGAAATTGGCTCCAAAGTAAGTGATTTATAAAGCCTAAATGGGTGTGAATAAAGTGGGAAATGCTTGTCCCACATCGGAAAAGTAGCAAAGCAACCTTGAGTATATATATGTCTAGTATGGGATTTGGGTTTGGGCCCAAGGGCACCCAAGTTTTTAAGAGGGGGAGGACCTAGGCTAGCCTGGATCCGAACCAACTACCACACGCGCGCGCCGCCCGCCCGACCCGACCCGGTCCGGTCCGGGCTAGGGCGGGGCGGGGCTTGATTGTGAAATGGGTTTAACTTTTTACCCAAAGTTAGGATGGGCCTGTGTGGTAATTTTATTTTGTTGCTGGACTTATCAAAATGGGCCTATTTACTGGACTTATTTAAGTGGGCTTGCGGGTGGAGCACGCTGGGCTGGGCTGCCGAAGTTTGCTTGCTGGGCTTAATCTGTTTTGGGTTTAAATTCAAATCAAAAACTGTTTTTTTGAACCAAGGGTTGCACCCTTTACAAATTAAAAACCATTGGTCAACAATGGTTGCACCCATTCGGACTATGGGTGCACCCATTCAGAATAGGCACCAACAAGCCTATAAATACCCATCATTGGGTTCATTTCAATTCACACCAAATTCAGAAATCTTCTTCTCTTCTTCTGAATTTCTTCTTCTAATTCTTCTTTGTTCGGTTCTGCCACTGGTTTGGGTTCAACCTAAACTGGTTTGGATTGGGTTCGAACCTTGGTTTCCAAGTTTAGGTTCAATCTTGGTCTCCGAGTTAGGATTCAATCCTGGTCTCCGAGTCTGAGTTCAACAGAGAGTGCTACACCGAGTCGGTTCGCCTATTCCATTGGTTTGAAGTGCTACTACCAAAGGAAGAAAAGTCGTTGTATCCTGGGAGATAGACGCCGAAGAGTCCGTTAGCACCGTAGCGGGGCGTATCTGTCTTAAGGCTATAGAATTAAATTCTAGCCTCGACTTTATCAGGTTCTTTTATAGTTTTATTTTCTTGATATTATATAGATTATTATAATAAATATTATATTTACAAATAATATTTAAATAAATTATACTATAGTATATGATACATTATTTATTATTTTTGATTAACAAGGAATGTCTAATCATTTCAAGATACACCATTTGAGAGACATTATATTGCATTAAAGAGTTTTTCATATACAAACCTTAAGAGATTTAATTAAGGATTCAAAGGGCTTTTGCTCAAATTCGAATCTTCATAGAGCTTTTGCTCTATTCTATACTTGAGAGATCTTATTGAGTTCATAAGAGCTTTTGTTCTTCACTTATATCATCTTCTATCATTTATATTATTCATAGAGTTTGAGCTTCATTGATATTCATATATACTCTAGTTGAGAGCTAAATTTGTACATCAATTTTTGAGAGAGATTTCTTGTACTTCATTATTCTTATTACTATCAATTGTAAGGGGTTGGTTTGACTCACCGGGTTGGTGTAACCCAAAGGAAGATTAAGTGAAGGTTATTCTCTTTGCAACGTGAAGCAAGGAGTTGCTTCATGTAAATGTTTGCTCTCCACCCGTAAGGAGAAGCCATAGTGGATTGGAAAGTCTTAAGAGGGGTCTTGAGCCGAGGAGTAGGATTTTCCGAACCTTGCTAAAATCGCCGAGTCATTGTTTGCAATTTCTCTTCCCTATCTCTTTTGCTTTTATGCTTTGAATTGATTGTCTAGTTCATTTGGTTATTGCATAATTATTTTAAGAGACTAGTTAGTAATCATTTTTTATAAATTGCAAAAATTGGCCATTGACTCTATTCACCCTCCCCCTTTAGAGTCAATCCTTAGGCAACAATTGGTTAAAGGAGCAAATAAAACCTATTCACCATCCTTCTAGGTTATTTTTAATACAAATTTTCACATCCTATTCTGCTGCATAACTCCCATTTCAAAACTCAAATTTAATGCAAAGGATAAAGATAAAGTTGAAATTAACACAAACAGTGATATTTCAAAGCTCAAATGTAATGCAAAGGATAAAGTTGAAATGTTAGTTTTTCATAGATTAAAATTCAAACTTTTGTAATCTGTACATTTGTTCTATACATAGAAAACACTCTCTTTGCACCAGAATTGTGAGAGAGAATTCAAATACAAAACATTATGTCTTTCTATGGTATCAGAGCATTTCAAAGACCCACGTCTTTTATTTTTCTATCCTACAAATGGCCGCCGCCTCCAACAACTCTTCGACAACTTCACCTGTAGCCCCATCCTCTTCCATCACTACAACAACCTTTTCTCCAGCTTCCCTTATCCCAAATATCTCTGTGTATTACTGCTCAACCCAACCGTGACAATTTTCTCACATAGAGATATCAAATGGTTGCTTACTTGATGGGTCAAAATGTGTATGGCTTTGTTAAAGGGACATCACGATTCAAAACCCTTGCTGATACACTTGCTGCAGCCGGCTAACCTTTCAATGATTTTGAGTTGGTATCATTTCTTCTTGCTAGGTTGGGGTCGGAATTTGATCCTTTTGCTACTTCAGTAACTACCCGTGTGGACCTCATGTCCAGTAGAATTGTATGCTCGATCATTTTCTCACACATAAGATGCAACTTGAGCACAAACACTGTTACGACGGATTCTATATTTCCTTCAGCTAATGTGGCTGTCAGGTCTTCTAATCAGAAAATAAAGTTCTTCACCGTGGCTCTCATGTTTCTAATCATGTTACGGCGAAACTTGCTAATCTTAATCTTCACTACTCCATGTTGGCAATGGGCAAGGTTTGGCTATATGACATACTAAATCTTCTAAATTAATCACTCCGGCCCTTTGCACTTTTTTGTTGAGAAATCTTCTTCATGTTTTGCATATTAAAGAAGAATCTCTGGTCTGTTTCACAATTTAGTAGTGACAATAATTTCTTTGAATTTCACCCATCTTTTTTCTGTGTTAAGGATCCACTCACGGGCAATATTCTACTTCGGGGCAAGAGTAGAGATGGGCTTTACATGTTTCTCTATGGTCCTCCTCCTCCTCAATTAGCCTTGTTGGATAGATGGCGTTGCAGACTTGGTCATCCTTCCCTTTGAATTGCTAGCCAAGTTATTCGTGCTCATCACCTTGTTGTTAGCCAAAATAAAATCTCTGTTGTTTGTCCCGCTTGTTGTATGTGTAAAAGCCATGAGTTACCCTTTCATTTCTCCCCGTATGTTTCTAATTATCTGTTTGAATTACTTGTTACCGGTGTATGGGTCCTTCCCCTTTTTCATCTATTATTGAAAATTAGTATTGTGCATGTGTGTTGTAAAGCATAAAACATAAGTGAAGAGAGAAATTAAACGAGAAGAATAAAGAGATTACGTGGTTCAGTCACTAAAGCTTACATTCATGGCACATTTGTTCTATAAATAGAATACAATCTTTCTACAGCAGAATTGAGTGAGAGAATTCAAACACAAAACATTCTGCCTATTTACTGTAGTTGGGTCTTGTTTGCTCAAAGCTGAAGCTGATCTGATAGAGAGAGTAAGAGAGGAGATGGATTATTCCCAAATAATAATGAAAATGGTAACCAATAGGCCGAGTGGTATCAAGACCTTACTTCTCAAAGGGTGGTTAGGAGATCGAACCGTAGTGGATGCAAGTGCATGTGAGTGCCAACTAAGGAAAAAAAAAAAATTTAATGAAAAGGGTAAAAGGGTAAATGTGTAAGTTATAGAACTTTTTTGGGAATTTTTATAAAAAGTAGGACTTCATTGTCCAATAAAATTCAATTTAGAACTTTTGTCTCTTTAGAGTTTAAAAATAGGACTAACATGTAATTCTCCCTTGAATTGGTGAGGGTTCACGGTAATGTTACTTTTAACTTTTACTCTATCCCTACAATAAGGGTAAATTGGAATGATTGAAAAATACAGTGCATTGATATTTGAAATAGGATAACTATTTGAGACAATTTAAAAATAAAAAGATAGATTATTGATATGGAAGATTAACATTTAATGGAACTTTAACTTTTTACTCCCTCTCTTTTTCTGTGGACATTAAGTGCTCTCTCTCACACTCAGTAATCATCTCTCATAAATACAGTTTGTGTTGTGTTAAACTATCCTGAATCTCTCTCTATATATTTTATTCCATTAAACTGATTTTAATTTATATCCTTACAATGATGTTTTAGAGTTCTGCAAAACAAATCCGATTTTCAATGCTTTTAATCCAATATTCCAATATTCCATCTTTTATATTAAAAAAAAAAAAAAATACAAATTCATTACTTTGTTTCATAAGAAATATTTAAACCCTTTAAAATTATCTACACAAATTATTTTTAGATTGCCATCCATTGTAACAATAAGTAAATCCTAATCGAAAACTTCTTTGAAATTATTGTGTGTGTGTGTGTGTATATATATATATATATATTATAATTTTTTTTTTCTTTCATTACTTTGTTGATATTTAAAGAATTAGTTCCAAATTTCCATTATTACCCGAAGTCAATTGCATATATGTTCCTTTCCAATACACTTACTAGTTCATATTTTCAACAAAATATTTTAAGATTTTAAAACACTCAATTCCTCTTTCCAATTCATTATATCCAAAATAATTAATTCTTAAATCAGAATTCAACACACTTAATTATATATGTAATTAAATACACTTATTATCAAAAATCAAAAAGGGAAAGAGTAAACACACTTTATTCAAGACATTTAATTATAGAATGAAGCACACTTAATTCCATAATTAATTGGATATAACTGCAACAGGACGATCTCCATATGGGCTTAGTTCTGTTTTTTAACTGCAGCTGGAGCTGGAGCAGGAGAACTTCCCTTTGGGTTTAATGGATCTGCATTAATTTTTAGCTGTTTCACCATTATTTGACTTCTTAGCATTAGAAAAATCTTTCCCTTTAGCGTCAGCAGGAGCTTCTCTCCCTTCATCAGCATCAGGAGCTTCTCCATCATCATCATCATCATCAGCAGGAGCTTCTCCATCATCACCAGCAGGAACATCTTGCTTTTCATCTCCAGCAGGTTTTTCACCGCCTTGTTTTACCGCCTTGTCTGAATTAGGAGCAGTTTCCTGTGCATACCCATGAAGAAATAAGAGAGAGAGAACAAAGAGAACAATAGTGACTCTATATAAGGCCGCCATTAAAGATTAATCTTTTATTAGAGGCTCAATTAATCTTTTATTGGAGGTTCTTGCCAAAATCACTCTGAATTTTTTCTCCTCCCTCTTTATCTCTATTTATATGCTTATTAGGTCGGGTAACAATACCTAAATAAAGAAAATGCTCCACAATACATGCCAAAATACTAGTATGTTAATGACCAGTATGTATGGTTGAGTTCTTCCCGGGGTGACAATAATGCCTAAATAAAGAAAATATGCCTAAATATATGTATACATTCCAAATAAAGTAGCTTCACTCTACTCATCCCTTATCAGCATTAGGGGAATCGATGAAAGAGCGAAAGAAAAGATAAAGGAGCATCAGGGAAATCGATGAAAGAGCGAGAGAAAAGATAAAGGGTTTTTACATATTTAAAACGAGTTGATCCGACTTTCTTTTCCTTTTTAATTATTTTACTGATTTTGTTATTAAAACAAATGTGTTATGTTTTTATTGGAACACATAAGGATTGTGTAGTGTGAAGCTACTCAACGGTGAGTAGTTAAGCATTGTCCAAGAAAATATACCTAAATATATGTATACATTCCAAATTAAGTATGTTAATACGAGTATTATTGAACTTGCTACAATTGTCAAAGTTTCTTGTCCCAAAATATTTGCTATGTCAAAAAAAAAAAAAAAAAAAAAATGACATAATTACCCTTCTTAATCATAGGTTTCTCTCTCTACCCTCTCTTTCGAAAAAATCTGAAATTTTTTTCCATCTATCTCTACCCTCTCACCTTCATGAGAAGCCCACCATTACCACCACCACCACCACCTCCACTATCACCACCACCACGTACCTTTGCTAACGCAATATAAATCACATATTTGTTTTTTTCACTTTCCACAAATGAATTGAACAGAGTTCAATCAACACACACACACATATTATATATATATATATATATATATACATACACACACCAATCCCATCTTCGTTAAGTTCTTCACCAATCTTCCTGAATTGGTACAAAATCGCATCCAATTTATCCTCTTCTCTGATCCTCCTCAACTCCTCTTCTGCGTAGTGTATTGTGGAAATTCCACATATTTATAGAAAAATATAAAATACAATATTCATACAAAATTATTCAAGTGAAAGAACAACAACAATTTTTTATTTTTATTCTTAATTGGTACTCACACACACATGCCTCTTCCGAAACTCGAATTCTTGACATCCCTTTGGAAAGTAGGAGCTTGATACTACTAGGCCACTGGCCTGTTGGTTAAGGAACAACAACAACAACAATTATCAATGAATAATCTAATAATGATTCTTTCATTAAACTGAATAATACATCTTTGAACAATATGAATATAATAACAAACATGAATTTAACAAGATAAATAATTCAACAATATAATATTAATATTAACTCAATAATATAATAATATAATTAAGAATAGATAAAACATAAGTAATGAAATACATAACAAGAATTAATCAATAGATAAAATAGAGATTAAGAAAGGGCTAACCTGATTATTGAGGCATTTGTCAATACATTAACCTAAAGCTGATAGTCCTCCCCTTCATGTAGGTATTGGTGAAACTAGTCAATTTCAAGATACAACTTAATCAGCTCGCAGTGCTGTCTCCTTCATGTGCATGACCACAAGAAGACTAGATCCAAATCTATGTAAGTCTAGTTGCTCATTAACCCAATATGTAAAAATACTCTTAAGGAAGGAAAAATAGATATATGATATTTTACTAATAGACTCACAACCTTATACACGAAAGTGTTACTCTACAACATATCACTCTACAAAATTACAATACACATAAGAAATATAAATATATATATATATATATATATATATATATATAGAGAGAGAGAGAGAGAGAGAGAGTAAATATGTAATGTCTAAGGTAATATAAAGATAGAAATAATGATTGAAATAATATACCCCATAAATATTATTTAAATCATATAACAATAATCATCGTTATAAATATAATAAATAATTATATTAAATACTATTTATATTTTTATTAAAATATCCATAACAGTCCCTATCTATTTTAATAAAAATAAATAAGTAAAATATTATTGAGCAACTTTATACTATGCAATCAGCGTATGTGTTTTCTGGGCTTGAACCTACACTTAGTGTGATAGTCTCCATTTGAGAAATCTGAATGAACTAAATCTTGAATTCAGTCCTGAAGATACGAGAAAGTGCTATTCTATTTGGAAAATAATTTTCTCACACTCCAAACAAACTCTGCTTTCTCTACCCCTCATTTCCTTTTGTATCTCTCCCCCTTACCCTAATTTTCTATCTTACTACACATGTAAGGCAAAAGTTGACGGGCCTCCTCCTGTTATGGGGCGGTTTATTTATTTGAATAGATCCCAATAGAGGCCCAATCTTGTTGTTATGGATTCCTCCCGAATTAGGTTAGCCTTTGAGCCTTATAGTTGGTGAATTGCTAGGACGATTGGGCATCTTGTGCCAGCCCAACTCTTTTAACTTTTCTATCCTTCATCTGCCCCTTTAATTTCACCCCAGTTATAAGGGCGAGATTATTGTGTGTTTTGTTGATAACTTCAGTAAATTTATGCGGTTATTTCCCATTGCTACTAAATCTGCTATTGTCTCTAAATTTTTAAAATTCCAAACACATGTAGAAAATTATTTTGACAGTTCACGGGCTGACACATCATTATTTTTCTTTGGTCAAGGTGTAACTACTATTTTAATCATCATCTATGTTGATAACAGTACAGTTACAAGACCAAACTCTAAGTAAATTGCACGCCTACTATTTAAACTTCAAGGAGACTTTTCCATGAACGATCTTTACCAGCTTAATTACTTCTTGGGTGTGGATGTAATTCATGATGAACATAGTATTTTTCTTTCTCAAAAGAAGTACATGCATCTTTGATTTACTCAAGAAAACAAATATGATTTAAGCTAAGACAGTGTCATTTCCGATGTCTTCCTCCAAATCTTTGTCCCGATTTGATGGTGAAGCTTTTAAACATCCTTTTCTTTATCGAAGCATCGTAGGATCCTTGCAATACCTTTCTCTAAATCGGCCAAACGTGGCTTTTGCGTTTAATAAAATGTGTCAATTTCTACAAAGTATAAGGTCTAATTTTTGTTATTGGTAAATTTCAATGTCAAAACAAGTCTGATCAAGTTGTAAATTCAAGTTCAAAATTTAAGATTGAGATCGGTTGCATAATTGGAAAGTTGTTTAAGGTTGATATACCGAGATCTACGAAAAAGGAAAGAACAATAATTTAGGAAGATAAGTTTTGAGGTTAGGACACTTTGCATACTTGGTATATTTACAAAATTACCAAAACAATATTTTTCCAAGTGTCAGGCGTTCATAGTTTATGACTGGCCATCTTGAACAGGTTCGAGCTTTTTGGAACCAGTTCAAGTATCAAACAATTGCTTCAAAATTTTATTGGCCATCTTGAACCGGTTCAAGGTCTTCAGTAAGATTTGGTAACCTAGTTTCCTGTTCTGATTTTTCTTCCTAATTGTTTTAGAATTCTTCTAAAAGTTCTATGCATGAAAATTACCTTTTTCTATGCAAATCTAGGTCATTGAAAATTCTATATAAACCTAGAATTTCATCTAGGTTGATACAGCTTTTGCATTACATCTTCAGATTCTTAAAAGCCTATTAGAGAGATATTTTTGCAAAAAATCAAATCTGATTTTTTTTTTTTCTTTCTTTCTAGAACACACATAAACACAAGAGTGAGTTTAGAGTGTTGTTCAAATTTTGATCATGATCAAAGTAATTTGAATCTTTCATCTATAATGATCAGAGAAATGAGATCTACTTCTTCTACATCAAATTCAGATCTTAAAGAACAGAGGTGAAGCAATCACACTTTAAAAGGTTCAAAGCATTCAAGGAGTGTTGTTTGATCTACCAACAATCCTTCTACAGAGATCAAGAGTAAGCTTGAGGTCAAGAGCTGTTAGATAGGATGTCGCAAAGCCAGAAGATTGTTAGTGATTGGTGTTTGGTAGAATGATAGACTATGAGCCTGAGTCGAAGTCTATTGTATTTTGTTTCAAACATAGTGGATCAGTTTACTTTGGATTGCACAGTTCACGAGGTTTTTCCAGCAAACAGTTGGTCTTTTCTACCAAATGGGGTTCCTCACTAAAAACCCCATTACCTTACTCTTTTTCTTTTTATTTTTTTATTTTTAATATTGTATGAGTTTAATTGCTAAATAAGTAAAGTTAGAAAGACAGATCTATTTTTAAAATACAAAACTTTGTACGCAAGTAATCTTTCATTACACAACTCACAAATTGGTATCAGAGCCAACCTTTGCACATTGAGTTGATCCTTGTGGAAAGTTTTGATTGTTTTTCAAATATTTGTTTCATCATGTCTTATGCATTGAAAGAAGGTGGATTTAATCAATGTGTCCTTTATTTAAAGGAAACAATTATAATTTTTGGAAATCTAAGATGAGAGCCTATTTGTAAAATTCAGGAGGTAAAGTTTGGGTTGTAGTTGAAACAAGTTATACACCACTTACAGGAAAGAAAAAATGTGGATGGTAAAGTAACTCAAGTTTTGAAAGATGTTTTTACCTTTACTGAAATTGAAATTGCGCGAAATGATGCTAATGGGAAAGCCTTATATGCAATTATAAATTATGTTGTTTCATTTGAATATGCTAGAATTTTTTATTGTAAAACTGTTAATTAAAGATGCTTGGGATATTTTGCAGGTTACTCGTGAAGGAACTTCAAAAGTGAAGCTGTCCAATATCCAAATGCTTTCTCATAATTTTGGGATCATTGTGATGAAATAAGATGAACCATTTTCTGATTTTTATTCTAGTCTTTTTAAAATTATCTCTGAACTGCGTCACTTAGGCAAAAGAGTTAGTGATAAGAAAATTTGTGAGAAAATCTTAAGGTCTTTACCTAAAAGATTTCAAATAAGGGTAGAAACTGTCACTGAACATTGGGATTTGTCTATTTCTAAAGTAGATGAAGTTGTAGGTTCATTGAAAAATTTTGAGATGCAGAATTTTGATTTAAATCAAAAGGAAAAGAATCTTATTTTAAAATCAACACAGGTTGATAATTCTGTCAATGAAAATTCCGATGATGATGTTGCTTTTATCTCAAGTCAATTTAACCAGTTTTTGCAAAGACAACAGAGGAGAAGGAATGGCCATGGGGACAATCCTATCAATTTTGACAAAGGGTCAAAATTAAGAATAAATGAAAAGAAAGTAGAAGAATCAAAAGAAACTGAATTCACTTGCTAGAATTGTGATGGCAATATTTGTCTTAGTCCTAATTAATATCAAAATGATAGGAATAAAGGGGAAAACAATGAAAGTTTCTATTTCTGAAAATTCTGCTTCTTGTGATAATGAATCTCCTCATAATGATTGCAATGATTTTTCTTATGTTGCTTTCTTGATAAAGGTCCTCATGTTGTTTCTTTGTTTGATTCTGACATTTCAGATGATGAAGTTCTTGATGAACAAGTTTAAGAGGATGAAAAGAATGAAGAAAAATTGAAAGGATGTTCGAAGAAACTATTGAAGTCAAATTGGCTGTCAATAAGTTAGCAAAGGAGCTTATTTAAGTAAAAGAAGAGAATAAAGATATAAGAAAATAGATTGAGGAAAAAAAAAAAAAAGCTTTTGAAAGCGATTCAATCATCTCTGATCTCAACAGAAAGATCATCATTCTTGAAGACAAGGTAAGTAGTGCTAACTCCTTAAAAGAATATGTTGCTCAGAAAATTGAATATAGTGAACTTCAACTAAAAAATGCACAAGATAAACTGATAGGGTTCACTACTATCAAGTTAAACTGAATAAGATGATCAACATGGGTAAGAATGTGAATGATAAAACAGTGTTATGTTTTGTTATAGGCTCATCTAGTAGTCAAGGTAAAACAATTTTTTATAAAACCTGGTGATTATACTGTGACTAATCCTAGTTTGGAAGATACATTGCATTCTGATATGTTCTGTGTGCCTAAATTGTTGCATTGCACTTTTTTTTGGTAAGAGTGCACATAACCATTATTCATGTCTTCATAGGAAAAAAAAAGATTTTTCTAAAATTCATTTTCATGATGTTCATGTTAAGAAAAAGGTGCATTTTAAGAAGAAAAAGAATTTTACGTCACTTAAGAATTCTAAAGCTAAAAATTTGCCTAAGAAAGAGGTAAAATCTGAAAAATCTTTTTAGGAAGTGATAGTGAAAACAGTGTAGATCAAAAAGGATGATTTGATCAATCATGTGCGAATTGAGTCCTTGGAACTAGTTTCCAAAAGGACTTTAGGTACAAAACCTTCAAACTAATTCCTAGGATGATTAGATCATGGAATGTGTTAATTGAAAAAAATTGTGCCGTTGAATCACTTTTTAGGGTTTGGTTAAGGTTTTGAGCCATTAATCATATTCTTCATAATAATATATGTAAAAAATTATTTCAGTGAATTTATGATCTATCTTTGAACTGTAAATTGAGACATATGATGATTTGATAAAAAATAGATTCTTAGATTGTAGAAAATCATTAGATTGTTGACTAGGTTATATTGATCACAAAAGCTATAAAGGTTATTGTTTGAAAAATATATATATCCAGCATGAAAAAGGAAAGAAAAATTGAAAATTTGCTGAATTCTTTGTTGAGAAAAATGTTACCTATTGAGTCTGGGTCGAAAGTTCCCATTGGACTTTGAAGTGTAGTTATTTGAGTAAAAAGAAAGGTGGAGATAAGTTGAACTGGGGAATTGCTCTTTACTCTTTAGAGTGAAAGCCACCATACTTAGAAAAAAATTTCAAAACAACCTTATCTTGATGCTTTTCAATCCATATGATTTAAACAATGATTTGATAAATTTGATTAAAAATTGATGAGATTGGATTTCACACACACACATGAACTTGCTAGATATATTAATTTCTAAATGTTTCATTAAAATTTGCAAGTTGAATTTCATGTTGTGATTGCTTTCTGAGATTTCTGTAGAGTCAAAAATTTGTATTCATAGATATTCATAAAATTCTTTGAAATTTGGATCATGTGTCTTGAAGATTAAAATGTTCAATTATTTGTTTTTGTTTAAAATGAAAAAAAAAAAAATGGAAAATTTTTCAAAAATTCATAAATATTTTGATTTTTAGGTTTTTTTTTTTCTTTTTTTTTTTTTTTTTTTTTTTTGATCATTGAGTATTTGAAAAATCTGGGAAGAAATTTTTTTTCTGAAAATCTAAGTCTGTGGATTCAAGTCAGGAATACTTGAACCGGTTTAAGGTTGCAAGATTTCATTAAAAATGAAACTGCCTAACTTGAACCGGTTCCAAATTTGTTAAACCGGTTCAAGATGTTTTTAGTTCTTTTCAAAAAAGGAATGTCAGGCTTGAACCGGTTCCGGTTCCAAAATTCCAGAATCGGTTCAAGCTTGCATGGATGGGCAGTTAAGGCTGCCTATTGTGCATTGAAGGGTCACTCCAACCCCTCTCTTTCCGTCTTCACTCCATATTGTGCACTCTTTCTCATATAGACGTCATATATATCACTTCACATCATATTTGTTCATCATTCCATTTTTATCATTATCCATTGCATACTTGGAATTTTGGAATCATTGAAGATTGAAAAACAAAGTCTGAAATTGTGAAGTTTGAAATTAAAGTTGGAATGTGGGATTGAAACTTAGAGGATTGGTTAATCTTTTGGATTGTTGAAGATATTTGAAGCTTCCAGTTGTGATTGGGAGTACAATCTTGCTTTATGGTGATTTTGTTCGGGGTTTAAAGTTTGAAACAAAGCTTTCTCTATAACACCTTTGAGCTTTCTCAAAAAAGTTCGAAGCCTTGTATAAAAAATTTTCGTGAATCAAATGGCACCAAGAATCTCTAAAGAAGCCAAGGGTAAAGGAATTGAGCTTCCAAAAGCTCCCAAGAGAGCTAGAACCGGCATCGTTATCCGAGAACCCCAAGGAGGGTCTAATGCTCCAATGGACACATCTTCCACTCCTATGGCATTCTTCGTCACATACGATACCAGCTGGGTATCGATCTATTTCTACTATTGGGAAAGTCAAGTTTACAAAAGAACACTTTTATGACCATCTTGCAAGGAAGGGGTACAATGATGTCTACAAGGACGGTCCCATCAAAACTGAAAAGAATGTAAATCTGAAAAATTTTCGAGATAGTGCTGGGAAGAAGCTTGTTACTTCATTGAGACATACAAATGGTGGTTCTTCACAAAGATTAAAGGTGATTTTTCTACGGATATGGTTCACTACTTTTATTCCAATATCCGAGAAATCTTTGAGATGCATTTCATTGTGTCTATCTTTGGGACGAACTACATGGTTGATGAAGAAGAGATACAAGTCATCTTGGATATCCCAGACACAGATCAAATTCCGAGAAAGGTTTTACCTTAGGAAGGTTAATTTGGGTCTGGAATTGCTCAAATTGCTATTGTCCTTTGTGTTCCTGAATATCCAAGGAATGATCAGTACATTCCTGCTCGTTTTCTCACAGATGAAGCGGCATTCTTTAATTTGTTTGCCATGGCTAATCTGGGCTACTTTGGGAAAAAGAATGAGATCACCTTAGAGCGAGCACAAGTTCTATATTTTCTTACTACAGGTGAACACATTCAGCTTGCACCATCTATTGTGCAATTAATGATGGTTCATTACAAAAAGAACTCTCATCACTATTCATCTCTGTTTCCAATGATCATCATGAGTTTTATAGGAAACACAAAATTCTGATTCCTCCCAGGGCATACCATTAGAGTATCAGGACTGAGCTAAAGCTCCATGCTTTGAAAAAGTTCAAGAAAGCTAGAGAGAATGCTAGGAAAGCTCAGAGGGGATCCAAAGAGACATTGTCACAGGTTCCCAAGATTTCACAGCTATTTCCTCCTAAAGGAAATTTTTCTAGGGAAGATGCGAACCTATTATACCCTCTTCTTCTTCAGAACCAAAAGACTGTACTTCAGAATCAGAAGTCAATGATGGATAATATTCGAGAGCTCAAGCTTGAGATGAGACAACTTAGAGTTCAGCAGACAAGTAGTTCTTTAGAGGATGTCTACAGACCTGCTCCTCCAGATTCGTCTTTGGTAGTTAAGAATGATGATGAGGAGTCTGAGGATGGTGATGATCAAGATAGTGATAAGGATGATGGTGGAGATTAATGATGTTCTTCTGACTTTATTTTTGGGAGATACTGATGCTTGATATTTTGTTCTTTAATTATGTATTCATGACATCATATTTTGTTGACATTGTCATTGTGGATATTATTATTATTTGACTGAATGACATGTTTAACTGCTTTGATTGTTTCACTTTATTTTCTCTGCTTTGACATTAATATCTTTGTCAATTTGTTCCAAAAAGGGGGAGAAAACTCGATACTTTCTTAAGGGGGAGTCAGGGGGAGTTTTATAAAAATTGTTTTTATTGAACTTCAACTAGTAGTTTTTGCTTGATCATGTGCTGGAAATTAGGCAAAATATTTTATCCAAGAAAAGAAGAGAACAGAGAAGAAATTCTAGAAATTCTGTGTCCTTTAACAAAATTGTAATTTGTTTTTTCTGCTTGGGTAGATTACATATTATTTTTAAGGTTTTGTCATGAAATTACTAAAGGGGAAGATTGTGAGGTACAATTTTTGTACTTGCCAAATTTCGATGTCCAAACAAGTCCGATCAAGTTGTAATTTCAAGTTCAAAATTCAAGATCGAGATCGGCTGCGAAATTGGAAAGTTGTTCAAGGTTGATATAATTAGATCTACAAAAAACGGACAGAACAACACTTTAGGAAGATGAGTTTTGATGTTAGGACACTTTGCATACTTGGTATACTTGTAAAATTATCAAAATAGTACTTTCCAAGTGTCAGGCCTTCATAGTTCAATACTGGCCATCTTAAACCGGTTCGAGCTTTTTGGAACCAGTTCAAGTATCAAATAATTGCTTCAAAATTTCACTACTAAGGCCTTTAATCCAAGAAAGGAGAAAGTGAACCGAATAGAAGTACGAACCTTCCTTATTTTAATAGATAGACATACTTAGAACGCTTCAAGGCTTTAACATAGCAATCGGAATCTGCCTCTACGTTGGAACGCTAGTTATCTCATCTTAGTTCTTTAATAATTAGTATAGCCTTACCTTGCTCGGACACATGATGCCCCCTTGAACCGGTTCAGCCATTCTTGAACCAGTTCAAGTTCTTCAGCAGGATTTGGTAACTTAGTTTCCTGTTTTGATTTTTCTTCCTAATTGGTTTAGAATTCTTCTAAAAGTCCTATGCATTAAAATTACCATTTTCTATGCATATCTAGGTCTTTGAAAATTCTATATAAACCTTGAGTTTTATCTAGGTTGATTTGGGTTTTGCATTACATCTTCAAATTTCTTAAAAACCTATTAGAGAGATATTTTTGCAGAAAATCAAATCTAATTTTTCTGTCTTTCTTTCTAGAACACGCACATAAACACAAGAGTGAGTTTAGAGTGTTGTTCAAAATATGATCGTGATCAAAGTAATTTGAATCTTCCATCTACAATGATCAGAGAAAGCAAATTTACTTCTTCTACATCAAATTCAGATATTAAAGAATAGAGGTGAAGTAATCACACTTTGAAAGGGTCAAAGCATTCAAAAAGTGTTGTTTGATCTACCAGCAATCATTCTACAGAGATCAAGAGTAATCCTGAGGTCAAAAGCTGTTGGACTGGATGTCGCAAAGCTAGAAGATTGTCAGCGATTGGTGTTTGATAAAACGATAGGGTGTGAGCCTGAGTCAAAGTCCATTGTACTTTGTTTCAAACATAGAGGATCGGTTTACTTTGGACTGCACAGTTCACGAGGTTTTTCCCACAAATAATTGGTCTATTTTACAAATTGGGGTTTACTCGCTATAAATCCTGGTGTCATCTCTAACTCTATTACTTTACTTTATTTTATCTTGCATGAAATTAATTGACTAATTACTAAAATAAGTAAAGTTAGAAAGACACAAATCTATTTTAAAAATACAAAACTTTATACGCAAGTAATCTTCCGCTGCACAACTCACACAAAGGCCAACTATTCCTCATTGGACTGTTGTGAAGAGAATTTTGAGGTATTTGAAACATACTCTTTTTCAAGGCTTACTCAGTGGCAAAACCTCTGCTCATCAATTGCATGCTTACTTTGATGCTGATTGGGCTAGGTGTCCCGATGACAGACCCTCCACTAGTGGTTATTAAATTTTTCTTGGGTCCAATCGTATTTCACGGAGCTCTCAGAAATAGGCAACTATCCCATGTTCGAGTACAGAGGCCAAGTACCCGTCTCTTGCTAATACCACAGTTGAGCTTCAATGGATTCGATTAGTCTTTTCTTAAAGAACTTGGTATTTTTTTTCCACACCACCTACATTATGGTTTGACAATCTTGGAGCTACATACCTTACTACCAATCCTATGCTTCACGCACGCACAAAATTTATTGAAATTGATTTCTATTTCATGTGTGATAAAGTGGCATCTAAAATTTTAATGGTTCGGTTCATCTGCACCAAAGATCAAAAGGCCAACATCTTTACAAAGCCGCTGGTGTCCAATCGCTTTGCTATTCTACCTGACATTTCAAAGCTCAAATATAATGTAAAGGATAAAGATAAAGTTGAAACTTAAAAAAGCAATGATATTTCAAAACTCAAATATAATGCAAAGGATAAAGATAAAGTTGAAATGTTAGTTACCTTGATTAAAATTCTAACTTTTGGAATCTGTACATTTGTTCTATAAATAGAATACAATCTCTCTACACCAGAATTGAGTGAGAGAATTCAAACACAAAACATTCTGTCTTTTTACTGTAGTTGGGTCTTGTTTACTCAAAGCTTCAGCTGATCTGGTAGAGAGAGTAAGAGAGGAGATGAATTATTAATTTTTCCCAAATAATAATGAAAATGGTAACCAACAGGCCATTGGCCTAGCGGAATCAAGACTCTACTTTTAAAGGGTGGTTAGGAGTTCGAGCCTCAGTGGATGCAAATGTGTGTGAGTACCTACTTAGAAAAAAAAAAAATAATGAAAAGGGTAAAAGGGGAAGTGTGTTAGTTATAGAACTTTTTTGGGAATTTTTATAAGAAGTAAGACTTCATTGTCCAATAAAACTCTATTTAGGACTTATTTCTCTTTAGAGTTTAAAAGTAAGACTAACATGTAATTCTCCCTTGAATTGGTGAGGGTTCACAATAATGTTACTTTTAACTTTTACCCTTTCCATGAAATAAGAGTAAATTGAAAAGGTTGAGAAATATAGTGCATTGATACTTGAAGTAAGACATACTATTATGACAGAGGCCAGAGGGAGTATAAAACATGAACGTTTTATGAAATTTTAAGTTTTTACTCCCTCTCTTTTCCTGTGAACTTTAAGTGCTCACTCTCTCTCTCTCACTAGTAATCATCTCTTATGAATACAGTTTGTGTTATGTTAAACTATCTTGGTATTCTCTCTCAATATTTTTTTGTTCCATTACACTTAGGGATGGCAATTTCCTCCGGCCCACGGGTTTCCGCCCCACCCCCACCATTAATGGGGTGGATTTGGTGTTTTCCTAAATGGGTTTGAAACGGATATGATAAAATAATTGAAAACCCGAAGCGGGTTTGGGATGGGGGCAGATTTAGTAATGAACCCGCCCGGACTCCGCCGCAATTATGTATGTACATTTTAATTTATATATATATATATATATATATATATATATATATATATATATATAATATTAAATATTAGTTTATTGGAAGTGTCCGTTAATATATTAATATTTATTATTTAATAATTTAAAAGTTAGATTAACTTATTTATAAGCCCAATTTGAACAAATTGGGCTAGTGGTTTTTTTTTTTTTTTTTTTTACATAATAAAAGTGGCATAACCTAAACTACC